GTGAGGGGGTGAGGGTGTGTGTGGTGTGGACACGCCTGTGAGGGGGTGAGGGTGTGTGTGGTGTGGACACGCCTGTGAGGGGGTGAGGGTGTGTGCGGTGTGGACACGCCTGTGAGGGGGTGAGGGTGCATGTGGTGTGGACACGCCTGTGAGGGGGTGAGGGTGTGTGCGGTGTGGACACGCCTGTGAGGGGGTAAGGGTGCATGTGGTGTGGACACGCCTGTGAGGGGGTGAGGGTGCGTGTGGTGTGGACACGCCTGTGAGGGGGTGAGGGTGTGTGCGGTGTGGACGCAGGGCGGTACCTGCAGGAAGGGGATGAAGTCCTCCTGCACCAGGTAATTGCAGCCAGGGTTCATGAGCAGGTGGACGAACTTGGCCGCGTCGTCGTGACAGTTCTGGAGGATCCTGGAAGACAGAGCACGTCCGAGCGCCCTCCGCGGACGCGGGGGCGGGGGGCTCTGCCGGGACGGGTGTGAACAGGACGCGGCCCGAGGGGACAGGACGGCCCGCCAGGCGCCCCGCACGTCAGCTTCCTTGTGTTGCTGTCACGGCCGCAGAAGGACGAGCGGGGACAGAGGGACGGCCCTGGCACTGACAGGACCCAGGACGCCCTCCCCTCCCCTCCTGCCCACTCCCTGTGCCCGGCCCGGACTCACTTTCTCCACATGGCGACGAACTTGTGGACGGAGACGGAGCCCGTGCGCTCTCCCCCGGCCCCGCAGAAAAGCGGCCCCTTCCAGTACAGCGGGCAGCCGCAGGCCTGCAGCAGAGAGGGCACAACCAGGCAGTTAGCGCGTCCCGGGCACCCACCGAGCTCCCCGGGACGCGGCAAAGGGCTGCTGCAGAAAGACGACCTGACTCAAAACCAGTCAGTACTGCAGGGGAGTGTGCCAGTGTTCCTGCAAAATGTGGGTTCATGCCCTGCACCTGCTCACCCCGCTGTCACAGGGGCTGAGGGAACAGGGCTCAGGAGGACGGGGGACACACCGCCGCCCCTGACTGGGCCACCACCAGGCACAACTGTCACAGCGGACAACCAGCAGGTCCCCCAACTCCAGAAATTAACCAGCACACTTCCGATAACCCACGACGGAGAGGATAAACGACCACGTAAATTAGGAGATAGCTTGAAAGAGACAATAAGGAAAATATTACATTTCAAAACTGAGGAGGCAGCAGTGACCAGGGGTAACATTTACAGCTTCAAATACACGTACCAGGAATGTGGCTGAAAATCATCCATCTAAGCTTCTGTCTCAAGACAGAAGGAAGAAACCTTCTGTCTTGTAAACCTCAAGTAAAAACAGAAGGAAGAAAACCATAAAGGGCAGAGATGAAGGAAAAAGAAAGCAAATATCCAGTAGAGAAAATCAACAAAACCAAAACTCAGTTCTTCGAAAAGATTTTAAACAATTAATCACCCCTTTGCAAAACTCCTCAAGAACAAAAGAGAGAAAACACAAATTACCGATGTCGGGGGTCACTACAGTCCCACAGCATGACAAGGACAGGCAGTGCACACGAGGAATAATTTTGTGCCAATAAACACGACCACTGAGCTGAAACAGACAAGTGATGTGACTGAGGCATCTAACCAAACGTGACATGACAGCAAATCTGAACAGTCCTACACTTCTTCAAGAAGGTGAAGCTTAAACTTAAAATTTCCCACGAAGAAAATTCCAGACCCAGAGGGCTCTGCCGGTGAATCCTTCCAGACACTCAGGGAAGAAACCCTACCGATCGTATGCAAAGTGTTGCAGAGAATAAAACTCAGGGACATGTCCCCTTCTTGTTATGAGGCCGGCACATTCCGGATACTGAAACCCCTCAAGGACACAGGGAAATTGGAGGCCAGTCATCTCTCCTGAACACAGATGCAAATCCTACACAAAATCCACGTTAGCAAGTTGAACTCAGCAACAAAAATCACAGACCAGGACACTAAGAACAGACAGGAACATCCTATTGCTAGGAAGGGTGGCAGAGAAAACCCACAGCTCACACCAGACGCGATGGTGACACATGAAGGCTCCCCCCTGAGCTGGGACAGGAGGAGGGCACCACCACCACACCACATCACGAGAGGGGGCCCAGCCAGTGTGGCAGGTGTGAGAAGAGTAACAGACACAGAGGTCGGAAAGGAAGACGCAAAAACTGATGGAATTCACAAACATGACACAGCACGCAGAAAACCAAAAAGATGTACAAAATAGTAGAATTAGCAAGTAACTTTCACAAAGTTGCTGGATCCAAGCACAATATACAAAAAGCAATTGTATTTCAATATACTAACGACAAACAATTAGCAAATGAAATTCTTAACAGCGCCATCTATCAAAAGCATTAAAAAAATCAACCTATAAGTAAATCAAATGAAAACCATGTGAGATCTCTACAGAGCAAACTACAGAACGTTGTTGGGAGGAATTAAAGACCCGCAAAATGGAGGGACATCCCGTATTCCTGGACTGGAGGACTCGTTGTTAAAACGTCAGGTGTCCCCCAAATGACCCACAGATTCAACACAAAGCCAGTCAACATGGAAGAGGGTGTTTGTGTGCAGAAATAGACAAGCTCGTTCTACAGCTCATGGAAACGCAGGACTCCACAGACTCGCTGTAGAATCACATCAGTGCAGACTGGGTGACGGCAGGAGGGACGGACCCATCGGGGGAGGGAGCAGAGCTGAGGAACAGACCCCACACACTGTGAGCTGACTCGGGACACAGGCCTGCCCGCAGCTCAGGGGGAAACGGGAGTCCTCAGTGAGGGCCCCGGGTCGACGGGAACCCCACTTCACACCGCGCACAATTAACATGTGATGGCTCACCGCCCTAAAGGGAACAGGAAACCAGTAAACTTGCTGGAGGAAAATATGAGGGAAGAGCCCCCCGATTTGGGAGTAGCAAAGACTCCTTAAGCAGGACAGAAAACACCGTTAACCCTGAAAAAAAAGACCAGAAACGGAACTGCTTCACCATTAACTACTGCTCATCGGAAGACGCTGTTAAGAGAATGAAAACACAGCCACGGCCCGGGAAAGATATCTGCAATGCCCGTGTCTGATGAAGGACTCACACAGAATTCTAAAGAACTGCCGTCAACAAGTGAGAGGCAAACACCACGGAGCAACAGCCGTGGATGGCACTCCAGAGAAAAGAGCACACGAGGCCAGTGAGCCGTAAACACATGCCCACCACCAGTGCTTGGGAGGGAGGGAGATGTAAATTCTAAGTATAACGAGGTATCAACAGAAACGCTCACGTGAAGGGCTCACACCAAGAGGACTGAAAATACCAGGCTGGCAAGGACGCCCACGGCCGGTGGAACGGAAGTGGTGCAGAGCCCGGGAGAACGGTCTGGCAAGACCTACTGAGAGCGGACCCCGCACACCCTCCACGGCCATGAGCTGTCGTCCAGGGAGTAAACCCAGAGATGACAGTACACCAACAACAGTAAACCAACCGAGACGAGGTCACGCCCACAAAGACTCGACTAGAATGTTCCCAGGGGCTTTATTCATATGCCCCCAGACGGAAACACCCAGCTGTCCGTGGGCACCAGGCTGCAGGAACAAACTGCGGGAGACTCACGACAGCGGGGTGCTGACATAAACGGGGGCCTGAGGCGACTGCTGGGGGAAGGCTCAAGCCATCTCAGCAGACTGAGATGCAGCGATGGGAAGCACAGTCTGTCGCTGCACGCAGGTGTGGATGAGTCTCATGGCAGGACACGGGGCTGGGGACGCCGGGCCAGAGTCCTGATGCCCGAGTCCACGAGATGTTCAGAACATGGGCTGGTGACCTGGAGGGGCTGACCTGGCAGTGGGCAAAGGCGAACTACTGGGTGCCAGAAACATCTCACTCGGGGTGATGGCACGTGGGTGTGTAAAAGCCCACTTTTCACTAGGACTAGGACTTGGGGGTGACGACTCTGGTGTCCACACCCAGCGGTCTGTGCACGTTAAGGTCTGTGCACTTGCCTGTACGGGGCGACCCTCCAGTGATGAGTTCCCAGAACGTGTGGTAAGCCTACAATTCCAAACCCATCCACCCCACAGGCCAGCTGAAAGGTTAGTCCTAATGCTTTAATGGTGACCTAAAGTACCTGTCACGTCTTTCTGTTCATATTCTGAAGTGAACGGGAAACACTAACTCTAAAATGCAAAACAAATAAAAAAATTTTTAAATATTATAAGACTGTCACTCCAAAGGAAAAACTACACCACACAATAAGCTTGTACTTTTTTTATCAATTTTATGTACTGTACACACAGGAAGACTCACTCTTCGTAGGGTGCAGACAGGGGCCCAGAGCCCGCATCCACCCCGCAGTCGGGGACAGCCGGGCTGTCACCCACTTCCCACAGGCACCCCGTTACATGTCTGTCCCCCACACCCTCCGTGCTCTCCTCGGTCCCTGTGGCTTTGCTTTTCCAGAAGGTCATGAGGATGGAATCATGCCACCTGCGGCCTTTCAGGTCTGGCTTCTTCCACTCAAAAGAATGCACCTGAGATTCATCTACAGTGTTCTGTGTGTGAAATAATAAGAAATCTACACATTTGGTTCCTGCCCCAGGTTCCTGACACAGAGCTTCTAAAACTTTGTAATTCCCCAAGAGACAGGGATGCTCGGAGTATCTTTTGTCCTAATGTTTGGTCTCTGCCCCCTGGTTCCTGACACCAGCTCCTAAATTCCTCGGAATTTCCTGGGTGATGGCAGCGTCTTGTCCTAAGGAGGCGACTGTTGGTGGCTCCTGGATGGGGCTGGTCACCAGAAAGACCATGTCATGACTAGAAGCTTGAACTTTCCACCCCACCCCCTCCTCTGGGGAAGGAGAAGGGCTAGAGATGGGGGTAATGATGTCATACTTGCAGGATGAAGCCGCCATAAAAATAAAGAACGGGATCTGGGGAGCTTCTGGGTTGGTGAGCACATCCACATGTCAGCAGGGCGGTGCACCCCAACTCTACGGGGACAGAGGCTCCTGCACTCAGGACCCCCCCAGACCTCACTCTACGTGCCTCTTCAGTTGTCTGTTCCTCTCTACCCTTTATCATGTACTTTATTATGTAATAAACCAGTAATGAAAGTGAGTGCATCCCTGAGTTCTGTGAGCAGTCACAGCAAATGATCGCACGTGAGGAGGGGTCACGGGGACCCCCAAATCTACAGGGGGTCGGTCAGAAGCACAGGTGACAACCAGGACTTGGTTCTGGCATCGGAAGGGGGCCACTCCTGTGGGGCTGAGCCCTCACTCCATGGGATCTCATGGGAGCTCCAAGTAGAGGGTGTCAGAACTGGACTGCACTGCAGGATGGCAGCTGGTGCCTGGAAAGCTCCCAGACATCTGGTCACATGGGGATTCAGTGTAGAGAAGGAAACAGTCTTCCTCCTCACTTGTAGCAGCAGCTCATGATTTCTGTGGTTTACGGCATGCTCCCTTGTGGGTCAACTGATCCCAGACAAAGGAGCTTCCTGAGCATGAGAGTGACCAGAGATAAGACGGGCTGTGTGACGATGACAGAACGCGCAATGCACAAGGAGGGGAGTGAGACCCTCAGAAGACACAGTCACCACAGAGGA